AGAGTGGTTGAGCAGTGGAACAGACTGCCTCGGAAGGTGGTGGAGGCTCCTTCACTGGACGTTTTCAAGGGGAGGCTGGATGACCATCTCTTGGGTATGTTGTAGGGCTCTCTTTCGGCTGTGCTCCTGCAGAGTGCAGGGGGTTGGACTAGATGACCTGCAAGGTCCCTTCCGACTCTAACATTCTATGATTCTATGACCCTAGTTACTGAACCACACATTAGGGATACCAGCCTCCAGGGGGGACCTGGAGATCCCCTGGAATTACCGCTCACCTTCAGACTACAGACATCAGTTTCCCCAGATAAAATGGATGCGTTGGAGGGTGAACTCTGCAGCACTGTGCCCCAGTGAGGTCCTTGTCCTCCCCAGGTTCCATCCCCAGCCTGGATCTGCCAATCCCACCCCCATCTCCCTCCCATCAGTGGCCGGGGGGGGGCGGGACCTGGCAGCCCTAGGCCTGTCCTGTGGGGGAGGGATGTGGCATTGGGGGGGGGGGACTTGGCCACTGCTGGGGAGGTGGTGACTTGCTGCATCCAGGGCTCTACCAGGGCTTTGGGGCAGATGGCTTGAAAGGAGTCAAACCTCCACTTCGTGTTTGAACAGTTTTCCCCCCTCTGGGCAGAGACCAGGCCCAGGGGGCGGGGGGGGGCGGTGGTCAGTTCAATTGCTTCCCGGACATACCTCAGCTCACCTTCACACATATGCTAATAGAATCAGCTATGCTGATAGAGAATCTTAGAATCATAGAGTTGGAAGGGACCTCCAGGGTCATCTAGTCCAACCCCCTGCACAAGGCAGGGAATTCACAAATACCTCCCTCTCCACACCCGCAGTGACCCCTGCTCCCTGCCCAGAAGATGACAAAAAAGCTCCAGGATCCCTGGCCAAACTGGCCTGGAGACATAGCAGGAGAGGTAATGGGTGTCAGAGTCCCAAGCCAATCAAGCTCAACAACGTTCCTTAATAAAGGTGCAGTATATTGAGAGAGGTACTCAGGTCATCATATGACATGCTTTGTGTCAGGAATGGGGGGTGTAGGTGGGAAGACAAGCTATTCTACCCAGTCCATACAGGTCCCCCCGATGGGCGCAGACCAATAAGCAATAGCAAGCAAGTGTGCTGAAAAGAAAACGGCCCTCGGCTCTCAGCTGGGAAAAGCGGTGCGGCTGAGCACGGCTTCATGGCCACAGCAGAGATAAGGGGAAGAAACCTGGAGCGCATTCCAGGGGGAGGGAGGGGAGCGGAGAGAAGGAGGGGGAGCAGGGAGAACACAGCCCAAACCATGGGGGCATCAGCCGACATTCTGCCCCCCCAAAGCCCCCCCCCCGGGCTTGAGTGGGAATAAGCGATGAAAAGCACCCACCAGCTTAGGAGCATGGACATGGGAGGCCTCCACCCACTCCCTGTGAGCCGGCCTGAAGTCCACCCACCCCAGCAGACAGAACACTCCCCCCCCCCACTTCAGCTGAGAGTCCAGGATCTGGGCTGCTTCGGAATGCTGGTCTCCATCCACCATCACAGGAGGGGGGTCTGGCCATTGCGGTCTCCACACATTTGGCCCCGGATCTCTCTTCAGTAGGCTACGGTGGAAAACGGGATGCAAATGTCTCAGATGTTTAGGCAGGTCCAGTTCAACAGTGACATCATTCAGTTTGCATAAAACCTTGAACGGCCCCACATGTTTCCACCCCAACTTCTGGCTTGGCTGTAGCCCCCGCATGTTTTTAGTGGACACGTAGGCAGTGTCCCCGGGGTTCAAGTCCCATCCCAACGATCGCTTCCTGTCAGCCTGGGCCTTGTAAGCAGCTTTAGCCCGGTCTAAAGTCTTCTGGATGGCAGGCCAGGAGGCCTGGAGGGTTTTCCGCCAAGTCTGCACCTCGCCTCTGGGGCCCCCACTGGCCTCCCTGAGGAGAGGCAGCGGATTCCACAGTTTTAAAGGGGGATAGCCCCGTGGAGGAATGCACAGCGTTATTGTAGCAATACTCTGCGTAAGGGAGCAAGTCCACCCAATCATCCTGCCTATAGTTGGTGAAACACCGCAGAAATTGTTCCAGGATTTGGTCCACCCTTTCTTTTTGCCCGTCAGTCTCTGGGTGATAAGCTACTACTGAACGCATTCCAGGGGGAGGGAGGGGAGTGGAGAGAAGGAGGGGGAATGGGGAGAACACAGCCAAAACCATGGCGGCATCAGCCGACGATGGGTGGGTCAAGACCTCCCCCTTCCTCCTAGCAGGGAACAGAGGCTTGGAGGAATGAGATTCTAGAAGAACTCCAGTGAGGAAATGCCGTGGAAATCTCCAGAAAAAGCCTCTTTGACCTGGTGGGACCTGCTCAGTGGGTGGAGAAACAGATATCATAAAAACTCCTTGCAACAGGAAGGAGGCTTCTTTTCCTGGGATGCTGAGTCAATGAGAGTGCAACAAACAAAAATTCCATGGAGAATAACGAAAATAAGTAGGCAAAATATAT